CCGTACTTTGTGTAAAATAAAATCTTAGAAACAAAAAGTAGAGACACTAAGAAATAGCAATAATCAATCCTTCTGAAAATTCTGTTTTACGGTCCACAGAAATTAAAGCCTGTGCTTTTTTAGTAGAAACCCAAGACCTGTTGAAATGGAAAGCACACGGCTTTGTAAAACTCCCACAGTAATCAAACATCAAGGAAAGGTAGTATGCGAAATACAGGCAACTTAATTTTTCCTTAGTATTTTGAAGATCAAAAGAATATCTCTATTCTACCAAGGAGACACCCCCCACCTTCCAGTCTCCTACCTCCCCAGTGGGGGAAAAAAAGCAAATTCCTTGGTTCCTCATGTCATTACCACAGGCTGAAATGATGTAACAATAATAGCAAAGAGGGATGTCCCCCTGAGCCAACTTTCTAATCAGTTTCAAAGTATGTTTTGTTGGTTCTCATTGATGCCACTCAAAGGAACTGGTCACTTGTGGTCTCAAAAGTTTTACAACAAATTGTGTGAATAAATTCCTTAAACACGTCTGTCCATTACTAATCCTCTTTTGCCAACATCCCTTTCAGAAAAAAATTGCAGCGCGCCATGGTGCCTGATTTATATTTCATTTTGAGAACCGGAAGTAAAGGGATTAAAGTTAAGGATTAAAACACTTACTCTTTACTGAATTTTTTCCCTCCTCCCAAATGGCTTCTTGGTTGCCATGGATACTGTTCACTGGTCCTTAGCCCTGAATGCAAGTCTTTTTGCTTTAATAAAATATTTTAAATGAGAATTCTTGGAAAACAATAGGCAGAGTAGCTTTAAGTTCAACAATTGTTCCTAAAAGCAGCTAGAATTTTTTTTTAAATCTTTTTTTCTTTATCCTTTTATTGGTATCTTCAAGGGTAAAATTTCAACTAAAAGACAGTACAGGGACAATCTAAAGATAGACGCAAAATCAGAATTATGTAGCAAGGGCACAAAGAGATTACTCTGAGATCATGAGTGGGTTGTTAGCTTACAAACCAGTGTTTGCAGGAAGATTAAGGGTCCTTGGGAATTTCTCAAATGTTGCAACACCACAGAACATTTTAAAGGCAGAGACGCACGTAAACGCAGTGTTGCAAGTCGACATTGCAAACACCAGGCAGGAAATGAAGAGCGGAGGCTTTCCCACCACCAAGTTAGCCATGTCAACGTAAATACCAGTGCTTTGGATGCAAGCTGTCAGTGTTGCGTGGCAGCGGCATGTGCACAGGAGTGTGGCTGAAGAGGCAGCAGCCGTGAACTGCCTGTGCGCCAGGGCTCGGCCGTCCGCGTGGACGGTGCACACGGCTGATGCCGAGTTAGGTGTCCAGAGCGACACGGACCGGGGAGCAAACACAGCTGTTGGAGTGGTGCCTCTGAAATCAGCCCCCTGACATCCATTCTGAAATATGCTGCCTGCACTCCTTTAAAAAGCCAAGGAAGCCCTGGCCGGTTTGGCTCAGCGGTTGGAGCATAGGCCTGTGGACCAGAGAGTCCTGGGTTCGGTTCCCGCTAGAGGCATGTACCAAAAATAAATAAATAAATAAACAAATAAACAAACAAATAAATAAAAAGCCAAGGAAAACAAAGGAGACTGAATAGTAAAGCTCTGCTTTAAAATCTATTCTTGAAGTCCAATACCAGGATGAGCTCCAGGATAAATTGTACAGTGACTTCTAAAACACCACCACATCCACTTTTTTCGTTGTTCCTGATGCTGGGTTTTTCTCTGCCTCGTCATCCAGTGGTTTTAAACTATTCCTTTATCCCCCAGAGACCCTATTGAAGCTACCTTCTCAGGTCCAAGTCCACTCATCATTTCTCACTTTTTCCAATCACATGTCCCATTAAAACCACCTTCCTTGCACAATATCCACTGACAACAGACTAAGATGCTATAATGATATATTAATGGGTGTGAAGGGGTTGCTGCATTACTGTTGCCATATAACAAAACAAAATTACACAGGGTTCTTCTGTAGACAATGCCATAACCGGACAATGACTAGTAGTGGCGGTTCTGAGCACTGTACCAGGCTAGTGGAACAGATAATTTTAGGTACAGGAGAGCAACTCACCAATCAAACCATGAGATTACCAGGCACACATGGGCAGGACTGTAGAATCTGACACAAACAGAGTTGGCGTAATCAGAATTACAGACAGACCCACAAAGCATACAATCATGCCTTTCAAAAATCCATGGTCCTTGTTTCCTGGCTTCAGCCTTTTCTTTCAGAAGCCACTTTTATTTCAGGATGCTCATGTAGGGCCACTGCAGGGCAGGCTGGGTTACTGCTGGACTGTTCTTGCACATTTGCAATCGGGGGGGGGGGGGGCATCAGGAACCTACTATGGAGAGGCAGTGCTCCAGGGGTCTCCTCTTTCTCCATGTCTTGGGAGCAGAGGTGCTGACTGACTTTCTGGACTACCTTTTTAAGGATATTTCTAAAACAAACAGCTTCAGAACACTGACTGGATAGTGTCTTCCTCCTGAGCAAAGGAGAGGTATACTTATGTCCATTTTGAAAAGATTCGGGTTCCCTAAGCTCAGAATTTCCTTCTTGTAACACAATCCACTGAGTACACAAGTGTCAACTTGTGTCACCTCTTTGTGTCACCTTGTGGAAACGGGGGCTTTAGAAGCTGGCACAAGAAAGTGATGACACTCTGGTTACACCTATAGCTGTGAGTAATAAATTAGCTTTGTCTCTAACCCAGGAGGTTCATGTCTTCTGTCAGCATCATGAACCTGTAGCAAGCTAAGGTATCAGTTTGTACATAGGGTAAAGATCTTAGGCCCGCTGCCGTTCCTGCCACTCTCAGGATCATCCTAGGATACGCGGAGCACTGGGCAAAAGTTTCTTTTGCAGGGTTCCTGACTACATAACTAATTTGAGTCACCAAAATCAGTATGTCGGCATCATACCAGAGGTCCAATCTCAAGTGATTCAGCTAAAGAAATTCCATACTGGAATTAGGGCCTTGCCCACAGGGCCCCAGGAAGACACCATGGGCATGAGTCTCAGAGCTTGTCACGGCACCTCGTTGATCCCACATATTGGGTAAGAGAGTGAGAGAGTGTCTCAAAGGAGAGAAATGGGGGCTTGCACCACTGTGGGTACTAGTCTTGGTTCAGAGTTCCCTGCTTGGGTGGTATGACTGGCCCAGACACCCAAAGGGGGATTTAGAGAATTTTAAGGAAGATACTCCAATGCTTGGGGCCCTGCCACCATCTTTAAACAGAAGGTCACTATAGAGCTTCTGGGAATTATCCTCCCACCAATAACTTGCTGACAAGTTACAAAATATCCCATGTTGGAAAATCAAACAGCACACAGCAAGAATGTTAGAGTCAAAGGAGAACGGATGTGGAGTCAGAGACACTCAGCTGAGGGGCCCTCCCACTGCGGACTGAGCACGCTTCGAAGTCATTTAGCATCTCTGAACATTAGGCTTCCATTTTAAAAAACGGGATTATAATAATTGTAATACTGCCCTTGCAGAATGATTGTAAAGGTGACAGAGGTAACCAGGCATGAAAATGCCCAGTAAACTATGCTCTCTCTACACAGGCATTTAGCGGTTATTATGTTCTTCTCATTTCCTTTACCCTCTAATTTCATAGGGGAAGAGAATAAAATGGGTAATTGCACCCATTATGTTTTTACTGGATGTTTTAAATGCCAGTTCACCCCTTCCTGCTATCACTGATGGTGGAAGAGACATAGATGGTACTGAGGTGCTGAGTGCTTTATTGTGGTGACGTCTGATTGATCTCAAGCTTACTACCTGGTGGGTGGCGGGGAGGCTCATCACGGGGGTAGAGATGGCAGGTGGGGACAACAGTATACACCATGAGGTTACTCTGCCCATTTAAGCCACAATTTAGTGCACCCTAATGTGTCTGAGATTTTATGACCTAAAAGTTGGAGAACTTGTTCTGGACATATTTTTTCATATAAAATATTGATTATTTTATTTATTCTTAATCCTTACCCAAGGATATTTTTCCATTTATCTTCAGATAGAGCGAAAGGGAGGGAGGGAGCGAGAGAGAGAGAAACATCAATGTGAGAGAGACACATCTATTGGTTGCCACCCACATGACCCCAATCTGAGCAGGGGATGAACTGCAACGGAGGCACGTGTCCTTAGCTGGAATCGAACCTGGGACTCTTTGGTCCGAAGGCTGACACTCTAACCGCTGAGCCAAACTGGCCAGGGCAGATTATTTTCTTTTTTAAAAAGGAGCAAGGAAATGGATCATCCTGGATCGCTATTTTGAATACACAGAAATAAAACTGATTTTGTATTTGCTTATGTATGAATGCAGACGTGTCAAGGATGTCCTCTGCACTGTCATCTCAAAACACAATGTGTATTCAGAGTCCCCAGTGGGTAAATATTACCCAAATCCCTATAGCTACTGCTTGCAGGCTCGGAGCACTGCTGCGACCCGCAGCTTCCTGCCTGTGGTCTTCTGCCATCTCTCCACCTGTTTTCCCTTCTGAATCTCCTTTTCGAGAGCCCAGCGATGTCCTTGCAAATACTGAGTGAGGAAAACTCATCACGGCAGTGATTTTTACTACATACTACAGAGTAAAAGAATCAAAACAGAGGGAGCCCCATAATATGTTTACATATGATAGAAAAATCTATGGCAGGATAGGCACCGGTGTTAAGCTACTGTGCTAGAGTACATCAAAACACCGCTACCACCTTGGCCTCTCTATTCCCCACAGGTGACAGTGCTGAGTGGGAAATGATAGAAAAATAATCGCTGGAAGTCGGGTGGGAGAGAGGAGTAATGCCTAGCACGGGAGGAAAGACAAAAATAGCAAGGTTCCAAAGCTACACAAACTCTGCTACAAAAAAATCACACATGCATATATGATCATAAAAGTATATTTTGAGACACGACAAAGAAAATAAGGCCCAGGAAATGGAGAAAAAGAAATCCATATCTCAAAAAATTTTTCTTTTCTTTTCAGTGCACCGTTCCTGGAGGCACTGCAGTACCAGGCTGACGTGTGGAGTGGATGGAGCAAACTCCAATTCCATCTCCTAATCCCCCAAATCCGTTTAACGTATTGTCCTCAGATAGAGAACGTATCAGATATTGAGCTGATAAGAACAGATACACACTCGATCTTAGTCAAAAGGCTGAGAAGCGATACATAACCTCAAATTTCAACAAGGCAAACAAGATCAAGCGCTGAAATGCCACTGGTCACCAGAAGGCTTGAACGTCGCGCTCGGCAAGATGCTGGAAAGCATCATAAGCTGGTGAGCAGTCCGGAATGAAGGAAGTCAACAGAAGTTAGGATGGGCTTTTTGAGAACAACCACAGAATCCTCATTTCCTAAATACCATTAAGTGAAAGCTGCACCTAGAATGAGCCTACAATTCATCAAGATATTTAGCAAAGTCTCTCCTGATAGCATTTTGGACAAGACTGAGATATCTGAAATTGATGACAGTCCAGGTGGATGTAGTCATAATTGGATGTTACACTGTATCTGAAGAACAGTGGTAAATAGAAATTTGCCACTTAACTGTCTTATCTTCTCTCCCCCCAAATTCCTAATTCATCCCCCATGTTATCACTCTAATTATCTTTCTAAGTCATAGATCTGACCATGGTCTATGTTTAAACATCTTAGTATGATATCTAAGGCCTGTAGTTTCGGTTGCCTTCTCAACCTTTTCGATCTCAATGCTTGCCTTAATAGCCAATAAATGACGATGCAGGTCTCATACGTCCCTAGCCGAAACTGTGTTCCATGGCATGAAGGAAATACAGAGAATAGAAAGGAATGTAATCCCTGAAAAATCTGGAAGCTGGGTAAGAAACATTTTTAGGGAACTGAGGATATTCATGCAGAATTTCTACATACATCAGCAAGGTCATTCATGCCAAAGAAGAAGCAACCTTGGATGATAGAACTAGAGTCCATGTGCCTGCCGGTGTTCTGGAAGGCAGGTTTTTGACCTAAGAATATAAAGAATGTTTGCACATATTAGACTTGCTAAATAACAAGAACAACAACCAAAAGATTTTCTTACAAGTCAGAAAGCTTAAGAGTTCACGAAGAGGCTTTATGAATATCTTTTGGGACTTCCTAAATGTGGTTCCCCATACTGGCCTGCAGGGAGGATGAGATTACATTGAAGGTTTCTTACAATTCTGATGGACTACAGCTGTGCCCACATCTGGACCCATGTAGTGGCAGTGCAGCAGGCACCCATCCCGAGAAGCCACTTGGGCAAACCATCTTTCTATTCCAGTTAAAAGAACAACCCTACTGAGAGAGGCAGCAACTGTCTGTAGTCCTTTAACAGTTAACTCAAAACAGGTAGTCCATATTCAACAAACAGAGGAAACAGTGAGCAGTTAAGATGGCACATGACACTTTGCTAGAGTTCATAAAGAGGGCTCTGGATTTGTTAAGTGGGAGAGTAACCTTTGCCAAAATGTTTTGTGGAACGCCAAGACTGCGAACAGTGTATCAAGCCTTAACGGGCGGCTATTCATCGGGCAGCACCAACTCGTTCTGGCACACGTTCTGCTAGGTCTTTCGGCTGTAGGAAAACAGCATACCACCTGTTGGCACCATACTTGGCTCCCTTTCCATGTATGAACTTTCTCATTTCTCAGAAACAAACTAAAGAGAGTAGAAGTAGTCATAAAAAATTCATCCTGACTCTAAAGGCCAAAAGAATAAAATAATGTATACGAAATGGCTCTGAGATGTTAAAGCGTTAAACATAGGCAAAATAAGACCCTTTCTTTATCTCTATTACCACGGTCACTATTAAAACATCAGAATCACAGAGATTGGATTCCAGTTGATGAAAATCTCCAGTGGAGCTTTGAAGAAGCTCAAAGATCTATTTGTCAAGTTCTCCTAACTTCTCAAGCAAGAATCCAACTGGGGCAGGAAAAGAATCTCTTCTCCCCTTAGAAAATTCTTGCTGTTATCTCACGGTACCTCGTTAAACCACTAATTAAAGCCAGTCTCTTCAGCAGACATGGGGGCGGCACACCGTTTTCCTCTGTATCGTAACACCTTCTCATACTCCACCCCTGTGGGCACAGCTACCTCTCCAAAGACTGACCGCTGTCGGGTGCAAGTGTTCCTCACTAGAAGCTACTGCAGACCTAGGGGATCGCTGACACTACCTAGATTTCACGAATGAGAACCTGAAGTTCAGAGATGTGAAGTAACTCATCCAAGGTCATATCATTAAAACTGGAGGTATAGGGATTTAAATCCCGGACATGACTCAGAAGTCCATATGCAGAAGAAATAAGCAGATAACTCATGCTAGAGGAAATAAAAATAGCAAATAATTACAATAATAAAGAAATAATGAGAGGTTGTCTATCGATTCAGAAACGGCAAAATCAGGAAAAACAACTAATATCTAAAATGGGCATAAAAGTAAAACTTCAGCATGAAATCTATACCCATCCCTCTCTCATTCACAAAACAGTATCTATGGGAGGACTGACAAATGGCAAGGATTTCCGATCCAGCATCTGGATTCTCTCGATAAATATAGGCATTAGGATGGTCAGTTTGTCTGGTTGAGATTTTAAAACCCATAAATATGACTTACAAATGTGTTTCTTATATGAAAAAAAAATCAAAGTAAATATATGAACAATTTATAATTATGCCATGATCTCGGTTTTCATTAATTGTTTTCAAATGGCTAAAATCTTTTTGAGAGTAAAATAAATTAATGAAAGAATCTAGAGTAGAGAAAACCAACTTACTAAAATTCCAACAACCACTTGTCTTCTCTCTTAGAAATACTCACTAGACAACATGATTTAATTCTGGCAGTAAGAGCTAACCTTTATTAGACAGATATAATGTGTCAGGTACCATGCTAAGTGTGTTACTGTCACTATATTATTAATATGATATAAACACTGTATTAACAAAGATATGACAAACCTATGACAAAAATGACTGATTTAAAAATTAACATGGTGAACTTATATGATTCTGTAAATTCTCTGATATACAATGCGAAATACATGTTAAAAAAGTATCCACTTATTTGCTTAAAGTATAAACTTCTCTTAGCATAGTGTCTTTAAATTAATTGGCATGAGTACATTTACACAATGCAATACTACTTGACAATAAAAAGGAAGAAAATGTTACCCTTTGTGACAGCATGGATGGACCTAGAGAGTATTATGCTAAGTGAAATAAGCCAGTCAGAGAAAAATAGATATCATAGGATTTCACTCACATATGGAATCTAATGAACAAAATAAACTAACAAGCAAAATAGAAACAGACTCATAGATAGAGAGCAGGCTGATAGCTGTCGGGGCAGGGGGCCTGGGTAGGGGTGTGGAGAGATTGAGCAAAAGACAAAAAGACGCCTGGTTGGTGTAGCTCAGTGGATCGAGCATCATACCATGGACTGAGAAGCCCTGATTTAATTCCTGGTCAGGGCACAAGCCTAAGTTGCAGGTTCGATCTCCAGTAGAGGGCGTGCAGGAGGCAGCTGATCAATGTTTCTCTCTCATAATGATGTTTCTCTCTCTCCCTTCCTCTCTCTCTAAAAAATCAATAAAAACATATTTAAAAAAAAGAAAAAGAGAACAAATTCATGGACACAGACAATAGCATGGTGACTGTGAGGGGAGAGGGTGGGGGGAAGTGGAGGAGGGTATAAGAGGGAATAAATGATGATAAAAGGAGACTTGATTTGGTATGGTGAGCACACAACCCAGTGAACAGATGATGTGTTGTAGAATTGTACACCTGAAACCTGAATGATTTTGTTAACCAGTGTCACCCCAATAAATTCAACTCTCTCTCTCTATGTATATACACATATATATATATATATACACACACACACACACACACACACACACACACATAATATGTATATATGAAAAAATTTAATTGGCATGAACAAATTAGCTTTAAACTCTCAATGGTCTAATGAAAGGGAGTGGGACCAGTAATTAATTTCCTTCTGTTTTCCTAGTGAATAATCAATTTGCACTAATATAAATTATACTTTGAGGTTCAACATGTCCCGTTTTGATTTGGCTAGTGTCACCTTCAAATAACCTGTTAAATTTTAACATAATGGATTTTAATTTGCGTGTGTGATGGTCAGTTTTATGTGTCCACCTGGCTAGCCCCTAGTCCCCAGCTATGCAATAAAACACTAATCTAGGTATTGCTGTGAAGGCATTTTTTTTAGATGTGATTAACATCTACCACCAGCAGATTTCTAATCCAATCATTCCAAAGGCCTTAAGAGCAGACTTGAGGCCTTAAGAGCAGGAGGAAGAGATTTCCCCTGTGGACTGCACACCCAGTTCTGGAAGCCAGGAACTCGTCTGGCACTATCTTAGAAGCTCCCCTTCCCCTCACCCCTGGCATCCAATCCCTCACCACTCTCTGTCCACTCATATTCAGCCCAGCAGCAACTAGCCTTGTTCGGACCTCTATTAAACCTTACAAACGTATGTACTGTCCTAACTGGTGCAAGAACCTCGGTCTAGCTCTATTCCATACTTCAACCACCGTCTGAACAATCAGCCCACCCCCTGTCGAAATCCAGGCTTAATATCTCTGAGTGCCTCAAGGAAAAACGGTGAATCTTACCATTTCTGTACTCATAGCAAATGTTGGGAAGTAGAAGTAAATCCTCCAGGGCATGAGAAGTATAGATTCTTCTCAGCTGAGCCAAGTCTTTCCGAGTGTTATAACTCGGAAAAAAGGTCAAAGTCACTAGGAGCCCTGCACTGCTTTTGGCTCACATGACCTTTATGTTTGTTTGTTTTAAACAGCCCTATTGAGGTATAATTGATATACAAAAAGACTCCATGTATTTAGTGTGCGCAATTTGGTGACTTTGGACATAATGCAAACACCTGTGATGTTATCACCACAATCAAGGTAACAGACATATTCACCACCTCTGAGAATTTCCTTGTGTCCCTTTGTGGGAATTTTTTTGTCTTCTTGGGGGTGGTCACCACAGTGTTTTAATTTTGCAAAGTCAGTGAACACTATGGAGCCATTCCCTGGAACAAACACATTTTGCCCATAATTTCTAGGATTTCAGGAGTTTCCTAAAACCTGTCCCTCCATCCATGGACCCGCCCACCCCGCTTTATGGTCCAT